TGTCAGGGCGCGCAGCATTTATAGAGATAATAATTAATTTAACTGCATTTATATTGTGCTAAAGATAATCAAAGATATTGAAAAATGGAGGGGATGAAAAATTTCTTCGTTGAGGGGATACTCGCATTAGTCTTTCCGATAGTCTCGTATTGTACTATAGGGAGACACCGGGATCTCAACCTGCGGTCATGGCGATTGTAACCCCCCTCACCCCCCCCCTCCTCCCTACCGCCCCCCACCCCCCCCCCTCCCAGCCCCCCCCCCCCCCACAGCCGAAAGAAACAAAGAAACGTCTTCCACAGTTAAAGCATGATTTCCAAGCGATTGTTAAGATTGATAGTTACAAAATGTTACAGTAAACTCAGGCAGACGGGCTGCTGGTCAAACCGTTGAGATCGGGGCTCTCATGCAGAAGACACGGGTTCCAATTTTCGGTAAGGTTCAGCGATTTTTTTATTTTTTTCTGTCAGGGAGGAAAAAAATACTTAGCTGCACAGTCTGTGTCGACGTCACTAGCCATGCGGCTCTAAATACTCAGGTTCAATGACTCTCCGGACTACATCAAAAAACTTGTAAATACAGGCCAATTTGGCAGTTTAGCAGAACTGAGGTAGCCAGGGGCATAGTGACAGATTTGTCGTTCAGTGCTGACTGGTTTATGGACAGAGTAGAAAGGAACTACTTAAGTGTGCCGGGTTTTATCCTGGTTTTACAGCTAGGGCTCTTTCCGCATAACGGTTAACCGTCGCTACTGAGACTGTCGCAAAAAAAATGCATACTCAGAGGCTCCAGGGTCAGTTCCCGAGCGACCTCTGAAAAAAAACTGCATATATGAACCCAGTGGGGTGATCTGTGAAAAGAGCTCAAGAAATTCAGAGTGGGCGGGAAGCTGCTTAACCTCTTAACAATGGGAACTATTTTACGAACACGTACACACACACACACACACATGCTTAAGATCAATCTTCAACATAAAATGAGATGAATTCAAGAGTGAGAAAGAGATGACATAATTTTTTTTTGCAGGAACAGTTATGAGAGAAGAAGAAACAAGCAAAGGGTGACGAAACAGGCAAAAGGTGAGAAATAAATGGACTGAGAAAGCGAGAGCATCGAAAAGACATCATAAAACTAATGTTAATGAGAATGGCAAAAGAGGCGGGAATGGATTCCATCAATTATATCTAAGAGATTCAATAGCATAGAAGCGAAGTGCCTTAAACGTTTTTGATTCACAAGATTTAAAAAACAAAATGATCGTACGTTTCAAAGCCTAGTTGAAAATATCGGTTGTAAAGAGAATGTAGAGAATGTATTTCAAACTTAACATTTGTAAACTTGAAATAAGCTACAAAATATACTGCTAAGAAAAAAAAAATTAACTATACAAATTACAACCTTGATTTCGGGCTACAGCATTTTTGAGACATGTTCTAGGCCAGTGGTTCTCAATCTTTCTAATGCCGCGACCCTTTAATACAGGTTCTCATGTTGTGGTGACCCCCAGCTACATGATTATTCTCGTTGCTACTTCATAACTTCAGTAAATATATGTTTCCCGATAGTTTTTGGCGACCCTGTGAAAAGGTCGTTAGACTCACAAAGGTTTCGCGACTCGCAGGTTAAGAACCGCTGATCTACGCCATTTAATAAACTAATCCAAACTCAAAGTATGCTGTGGTGAACATCAAGGCAACCGCCTTTAATTTACACGATACTTTCTGTACTCATTTGAGGATATGTCGACCTGGCAGTTTATGCCAACTATCAAAATGAAAGCTCCCATCTAAAGTTGTTAGGATAATTCATTAGGAGCAATTAACTGAGATTTGTAGAGGACAGAATAAAACTTGTAAAATCCACAAAATAGACATCACAGCGTCACGGGCACCCTTAATGAGGATGTGGCATCTCTGAAGTAACAAGTGTACTTGACCCAAGGACGTCTAGATGATCAAGCGTAGAATTTCATGTGTATTAAGGTCAGATGATAGGATTATTAAAATTCCGAATTTAAAGGTCTGTCTGGGCTGTTCCTTTGTATGCGAGCGAAGAATGACATCAATCGTTGACATAATGAGCAATTTAATGGTGATTCAATCATTATTACCCGCGCGGTACTGTATGACACAAGACAACTTATTAATTTTAATTATGTTACTGGTAAAATACCGCACTTTTAATCACCACTGGCCAGGTTTAGAATTTGAAGTTTGCCCATATTTTTTATAGAACAAACAGCATTAGTAATGTGACGGCGTCTATATCAAGCCGCTCGCTTTTACTTTCTGAAAACTTCTCTGTTAGCCATTTCAGCATGTGTCGACTAAGAAGCTCTATGAATTGTTAAAAAGAAAGAAAGAAAGAAAGAAAGAAAGAAAGAAAGAAAGAAAGAAAGAAAGAAAGAAAGAAAGAAAGAAAGAAAGAAAGAAAGAAAGAAAGAAAGAAAGAAAGAAAGAAAGAAAGAAAGAAAGAAAGAAAGAAAGGAAACCTCGTTTAAGTCGTGATCTGAAGCCAAGACTCTTGAGGTCTGTGGGCAAGCTTCAGGTCATTTCAAGACACGAATGTCACTCAATCTTTTGTTTAAACCAACTTCTATGCTTTCATTTTTAGAAATGGCCGAAGACGAAAACAGAGAGGGGAAAAAAATATTACAGCTGAGAATAGCACTCAGACTATTTACAAAAGTGAATATCATACATAATATCCCCTTGTGAGTTCTGGGGCAACATTTAGGGAGGTGGAAGGAGGGGAGGATGGACCACTG